AAGAGTAAATCTCACCACATAGCATTACAGTAAGAATTTCATCTATTATAAAATGAGTCAGGCTCAGATTCATTTCATTATGAAGCACTGCGATACAGCAGGGAAGACAGGTGTCATGCATTTTCGAAGCCCCCTTATTCTTAACAGCCCTTCTGCAGATTTTACCTGCATCAAGGTTACACACTGCAAGAATTATGAGGGAGCTCACAAGCCCTGTTTCAACTTATTTAACTGCCAGAAGTTATCTCCCACAAATGCTCATCCATTTCCTCTCTAGAGTATCCATGGAAGAATGATCCATGACTTCCATTGGTAAACACTACAGTGGTACCCCGCAAGACGAATGCCTCGCAAGACGGAAAACCCGCAAGACGAAAGGGTTTTCTGTTTTGGAGGCGCTTCGCAAGACGAATTTCCCTATGGGCTTGCTTCGCAAGACGAAAGCCCATAGGGAAATCTCGGGGGACCTGTTTTAAATTGCTGGCGGTCGGGAGCAAAGACTTTCGCCCACAGCCGGCCTTCAGAAGAGGTCCTGGACCTCTTCTGAAGGCCGGCGGGGGGCAAAAGTCTTTGCTCCCCCCCCCCCGCCTGCCTTCCCGGGACAGCGGAGACTTCTCCGCTGCCCCGGGCGATCTTAAAATGCTGGCGGGCGGGAGCGAACGCTTCGCTCCCGACCCCCAGCATTTTAAAATCTTTGGGCGAGTGTCTGCAAGCCTTGCGCGCCTGGCAGGAGGTCCCGCCGGGTGCGCGAGGCTTGGGGCGGCAGCCTGTCGCCCGAAGCACGGGGAGCCCTCCGGAGGGCTTCCCCTGCTTCGGGCGAGTGTCTGCAAGCCTCGCGCGCCCGGCAGGAGGTCCCGCCGGGTGTGCGAGGCTTGGGGCGGCAGCCTGTCGCCCGAAGCACGGGGAGCCCTCCGGAGGGCTTCCCCTGCTTCGGGCGAGTGTCTGCAAGCCTCGCGCACCCGGCAGGAGGTCCTGCCGGGTGCGCGAGGCTTGGGGCGGCAGCCTGTCGCCCGAAGCACGGGGAGCCCTCCGGAGGGCTTCCCCTGCTTCGGGCGAGTGTCAGCAAGCCTCGCGCACCCGGCAGGAGGTCCCGCCGGGGTGCGCGAGGCTTGGGGCGGCAGCCTGTCGCCCGAAGCACGGGGAGCCCTCCGGAGGGCTTCCCCTGCTTCGGGCGAGTGTCAGCAAGCCTCGCGCACCCGGCAGGAGGTCCCGCCGGGTGCGCGAGGCTTGGGGCGGCAGCCTGTCACCCGAAGCACGGGGAGCCCTTCGGAGAGCTCCCCTTGCTTTGGGCGAGTGTCTGCAAGCCTCGCGCGCCCGGCAGGAGGTCCCGCCGGGTGCGCGAGGCTTGGGGCGGCAGCCTGTCGCCCGAAGCACGGGGAGCCCTCCGGAGGGCTTCCCCTGCTTCGGGCGAGTGTCAGCAAGCCTCGCGCGCCCGGCAGGAGGTCCTGCCGGGTGCGCGAGGCTTGGGGCGGCAGCCTGTCGCCCGAAGCACGGGGAGCCCTTCGGAGAGCTCCCCTTGCTTTGGGCGAGAAGTCTCTGCTGCCCCGGGCGATCTTAAAATGTTGGCGGGCGGGAGCGAAGCGTTCGCTCCCGCCCCCCAGCATTTTAAAATCTCCCCGGGACAGCAGAGACTTCGCTCCCGCCCGCCAGCATTTTAAAATCGCCCCGGGACGGCAGCAAAGCCCTCCTGTCCTCGGAGCTTGCGGGGTGGGAGGTGGGAAGAAGGGCTTTTTTTCCCACCGCCAGCCTTCAGAACAGCCTTCTGAAGGCTGGCAGTGGGAAAAAAGCCCTTGTTCCCCCCCCCCCCAGCCTTCAGAAGAGGTCGGGGGACAGACTGTCCCCGGACCTGGTCTGAAGGTGGTTTCCCTAGGAACGCATTAATTGATTTTCAATGCATTCCTATGGGAAACCGTGCATCGCAAGACGAAAAACTCGCAAGAAGAAAAAACTTGCGGAACGAATTAATTTCGTCTTGCGAGGCACCACTGTACCTCTAAAAAAATGGGTTGAGGAAATGTTATTGGGTTGTTTTTATTCTGATTTTTATTATGTATTTTATGTGTTTATATTGTAATTTTATCTTGAGAACCATCCTGAGACCTGCAGTTATAGGGCATATACAGATTTTAACAGCAGCAGCAGCAGCAACAACAACTTTCTAATGTGTGCTTCTTATTCAGATTTTGCAACCCAAAATGCCTTTACAAACAAAAGCTAATAACGGTTTGCTTTTAAGATTTCTTTAAATAGTACAAGTTTAATTTTCCTCACCATGAGATATCTGGCAAGAACAGAAAGTACTTCTACTGTCAATGGTTCAACTATAGAAGGGCAGATAAAGCAGTCCTTAATACTGTCGTTCAGTACAGTTAACCGAAGGAAGATAGGAAAAAGACACATTCATCAGTACCATCCAATTTGAAAACGGCTTTTAGTCAAAGCACAGCTTTGACAACAAAATGAAACCACAGTCGCTGTTTGACTCAACCGCTAAGACAAATGTCAAACGAAAATTTGAATTTGCAAATAGATTTCATTAACTTTATATATTCATAAATGTGCAGTGGTCCTAACAGGCTGCTTGGGCACACTAGGAAAATACAGTGAAAATAGGTTCTTGCCCCTCTTGATAGTGTTGTGCACTGACCCTTCTCCGCTTAAGATGTTCTCACTTTGTTGCTAGGCAGACTCTGGGACTGGTCCAGTGTTGTGCAGAAACAACGCCAGTCACACCACACAGTATATGAGACCAGCTCCGAGACTGAGAAGCCAAAAAGCAGGAAAGCGTTGCCTATGTTTAGGATCCTTTCTAAGGGTTCTCATGCTTCTTGTTTGGCCTGGGAGAGCGAAAGGAAGGGTTCTGGGAAAACAGGAAGAGCAAAGCAGCAATTCACTCCCAGTGGTTCTTTTCTCTGTTCTTACTGTGCCGTAAAATCTCAAGCAAACTTTTGACAGTCCTTTCAAAAAGAAGGGGAGGGATGTTTGCATAGTCCCTCCTTTTTTTTTGCAAAGGAGAGCAAATACCGTATTTTTCGCACTATAGGACGCATTTTTTCCCCTCCAAAAATGAAGGGGAAATGTGTGTGCGTCCTATGGTGCGAATGCAGGCTTTTGCTGAAGCCTGTAGAGCGAGAGGGGTCCGTGCGCACCGACCCCTCTCGCTCTCCAGGCTTCAGGAAGCTATCCCAAGTCTTGCAAGCCCAGCGGGATGTCCCGCAGGCTCGCAAGGCTTGCGGGCAGCAGCCTGCACCCAAAAGCTGGGGACAGCGGGGAGGCGCAGAGCCGCCACCCCGCTATTCCCCGACCTGATCTGGAGGCTGGCGGGGGGAGAAGCAAGCCTGCTTCTCCCCCCCCAGCCCCACAAGCTCGGGGGATAGGGGGATGGCGAAGCGCCGCCATCCCGCTATTCCCCGACCTGATCTGGAGGCTGGGGGTGGGAGAAGCAAGCCTGCTTCTCCCCCCCCCCCCACCATCCCCACAACCTCCAGATCAGGTCGTGGAATAGCGGGATGGCGGCGCTCCGCCATCCCGCTATTCCCCGACCTGAACTGGAGGCTGGGGGCTGGAGAAGCAAGCCTGCTTCTCCCCCCCCCCCCAGCCCCACAACCTCCAGATCAGGTCGGGAAATAGCGGGATGGCGGCGCTCCGCCATCCCGCTATTCCCCGACCTGATCTGGAGGCTGGGGGCGGGAGAAGCAAGCCTGCTTCTCCCCCCCCCAGCCCCACAACCTCCAGATCAGGTCGGGGAATAGCGGGATGGCGGCGCTCCGCCATCCCGCTATTCCCCGACCTGATCTGGAGGCTGGGGGTGGGAGAAGCAAGCCTGCTTCTCCCCCCCACCAGCCCCACAACCTCCAGGCTTCAGGAGAGCCCCACCGCCAGCCCCACAAGCTCGGGGGACAGCGGGAGAGGCGCAGCGCGCCCTTCCCGCTGTCCCCCGACTTGGCTAGAAGGCTGGCGGGGGGAGAAGCCTGCTCCTCCCCGTCGCCAGCCCCGCAAACTCGGGGGACAGCGGGAGAGGCGCAGCGCGCCTTTGCCGCTGTCCCCCGACTTGTCTAGAAGGCTGGCGGGGGGAGAAGCCCGCTCCTCCCCGTCGCCAGCCCCGCAAACTCGGGGGACAGCGGGAGAGGCGCAGCGCGCCTTTGCCGCTGTCCCCCGACTTGGCTAGAAGGCTGGCGGGGGGAGAAGCCTGCTCCTCCCCGTCGCCAGCCCCGCAAACTCGGGGGACAGCGGGAGAGGCGCAGCGCGCCTTTGCCGCTGTCCCCCGACTTGGCTAGAAGGCTGGCGGGGGGAGAAGCCTGCTCCTCCCCGTCGCCAGCCCCGCAAACTCGGGGGACAGCGGGAGAGGCACAGCGCGCCTTTGCCGCTGTCCCCCGACTTGTCTAGAAGGCTGGCGGGGGGAGAAGCCTGCTCCTCCCCATCGCCAGCCCCGCAAACTCGGGGGACAGCGGGAGAGGCGCAGCGCCTTTGCCGCTGTCCCCCGACTTGTCTAGAAGGCTGGCGGGGGGAGAAGCCTGCTCCTCCCCGTCGCCAGCCCCGCAAACTCGGGAGACAGCGGCAGGGGCGCAGTGCGCCCTTCCCGCTGTCCCCGACTTGGTTAGAAGGCTGGCCCAGCCCCGCAAACTCGGGGGACAGCGGGAGAGGCGCAGCGCGCCATCCCGCTGTCTCCCGACATGGTTTGGAGGCTGGCGGAAGGCTTCCTCCTCCCCCAGCCCCGCAAGCTCCCAGAGCGATGCCAAAGCTGCGCGCAGCTTCGGCATGGCTCTGGGTCCCGTTCTGGGGGAGGGGGAAGCTCGGGCTTCCCCGCCCCAGCCCCGCGCCTGGCGGGGGGGGGGAATAAATTTTTTTTGCCTTTATTTCCCCCCCCAAATCTAGGTGCGTCCTATGGACCGGTGCGTCCAATAGTCCGAAAAATACGGTACCTGGTTGAAAAATACCCACTAAAGAGGCCTGCAGCTGTCCATCAACATCCACAGAAGATCTGGAAAGTGGGGTCTTACCAATTACTGCCTGTCTGCTCTCATTCAAAGGATGACTTTCTTGGGAATCCATCTTCTTTCTAGAGGCTTTAACCCACCAAGGCTCATATTTCAACAGATGGTGAATAGTCTCATCTTCAAAGAAGTCAGCACTGGAAAGATAAAAGGATTCCTGCATCACAGTCCAAGATTAGGCGTTCATGTATGTTGCCAAATAATCATAATACATAATCATCATTTCCTTAAGCTTCTCAGTAGCATGCAAGGTTTACACACCTAGAGATGCAGGACTCCCAGACCCACCTGAGATTTGTGTATCTTGCTACAGGGGTGATGCAAGTGAGTTATATCTTGCTCACTGGAATGGAGGATGGAGAGAAGGGAAGGTACAGACTTTTGTGCGGGTTTAAATGTACCCCACCTTACAAAGTTAAAGAGTCACATCTGTTGTTCTACCCACCCCTTGTCCGTGCAACTAAATAGCGTAACACAGTGAGATATGGGAGAAGGGCCGTAGCCCGTTGGTAAAGCACATGCTTTGCCTGGAAAAGGACCCAGGTTCAATCGCCAGGTAGCAGTGGTGACTGCAGTCCATTGAGATGAATAGGACACAATGCAGGCAGACCGAACAGGGAGCAGACGTAGTCCACTCATCCTAGTTTCATCCCCATCATCCTCCCTGCCAAGTTCTACAAGATCAACACTGGGACTCTCCATCTATTGCGAGAGACAATGGAGTGTGCCTCACGGGGTGAAGTCAAACCGCTGGAGAATCACAGCCCCTGCTGTGGCTTGCAGAGCTTGGTAAATCGTAACTGCTGCCTCCTGCGTTGTTTCTGCTGCATTAGCAGCACTGAAGTGAACTCTCTGGGTGCAGCCTGGGCTGTCTGTATGGAGATCCAGGGTTGCCTGATGACAAGACTTCCCTCTTGCCCTCGCTGATGTGGTCCAAAATAAATCAGAGCAATACGTTTGGCACCAGCTTGGCTGCAGGAGTTGTTGGAAGGAGGCATACCAGGCACCATCCAACTGTCTTAGGGACTCCACTAAGGAAGGGTTTACTCCTTAGCCTTTTCTCCTCCCAAAGATGTCACGCAAGGCAGCAGGTACACTGGGACGAAGGGGGAGGAAACAAGCAAGCAGTGTCACCCTGAGCTGCTTGTAAGTAAGGCAGACAGGTGGGAGCTGGCGGGGGGTAGGGACTAAGGTTGGTGAGGCAGTGCCTCATTTGTCTTAATGAAGCAATCTCTACTGCCAGTATTGTTGACAATACAGTGGTACCTCAGGTTAAATACTTAATTCGTTCCGGAGGTCCGTTCTTAACCTGAAGCACGACTTTAGCTAATGGGGCCTCCTGCAGCTGCCGCGCCGCCAGAGCACAATTTCTGTTCTCATCCTGAAGCAAAGTTCTTAACCCGAGGTAATATTTCTGGGTTAGCGGAGTCTGTAACCTGAAGCGTATGTAACCTGAAGTGTATGTAACCCGAGGTACCAATGTACTGGAATAAATTAACCAGTGGACTTGATATAGAGGCAACCCTTATGTAAGTTATTATTCCATTTCTCGAGCGCGAACAGCTGAAATATGCAGCAAAAACCCTGTTTCTTTCTCTTGGTCAGAGTGGATCAATTGCACCTATTACACTTTAGAGTACTATACTCAAGATTATTATACTCTATTATGTGGAGTAAGAAAGGTAATTTCAGGGAGTCGTGGGGTTCCTTACGTTGACGACGTTCTGCAGTAGTTGTGTCTACTCAGCTTGAATTTCAGCTGGCCTTTGGCTCTAACAGAGTCTCAGAAAACCCAAACCTGAATCATATCAGTCATCAGCTTCCGTGGCAATTATACATAGAGAGAGTCTAAAATGCAGCATAAGGCAAAATAGTAGGAGATACGGAAACCACTCATTTCCTATTTAAAAAATAGGCCTCTTCGATCCACTTTCTATTAAATGAGGACAAGATGGTCAACCAGATATTGCAGAAACACGCCATATGCAAGGACTTACAGGTAATGGTCAGGATCGAATTTGGCATCTTCTGCTGCCAGCCTTTTCTCTCTGCGTTCAGCTGCAGGGGTCACGTCTGGATTTTTGATATCGATAACATCATTAAGTTCATCCTGCGAAGACAACCACAAACAAATAAGCAAACCTGTAAAAGGGGAGGGGGGTTGACTTTGTTAAAGGTTTAGGCAGAAAACTTGTGACGTTTGTCTCAAATGGTATCGGGGTAAAGAGTGTATATACCCAGCAATGGCACTATGCCCAGCTATGGACTGAGTTTGCCTGGCCTCAGTCGTTTGCATTCCAAGTAAACTTTGATTGAATTTATGCAACAAGCTCTACGTGAGGCTGCTACTGAAAATGGTCAAGGAGCCTGAGGTCCAAGGGAACCACCTCTGCTGGTATCTGCCCACCCGTGGTTATAGCCTATTTGAAAATATTGCAAGCTCCCGCAAGAAGCACCTTCACATTACTCCTAAACAAGTTTGAAAACAGGAGCCTGAGAACAAGTATTTACAGAACCCCACTGCTTCCATAATGAAGAAAGCTGAACAGTTCATTTAACACAATACTTCAATTTCCTGCATTGTATTCTTCACACAGAACTGCGCTGTGTGGATTCTTCTCTTTGCTTATACAGAGAAAATCATGTATTTTTTTCCAAAACCAAAAAAACAAGAAAGCCTGCAGCACCTAAGAAGAGACAACACGGTTCTAAGATTTATATTTAACTGTCATTTTTCATCGTTACAGGCTGCTAAGCATCTTCCACAAATTTCAACTGAAGACACACTATCTCAGACCATGGAAGTCCCCTGAACGTTGGCATCCATCTGCCTCAAGAGACAATGGAGTGAGTATTTGGGGGTGAAGTCAACCTCCCCAGGGTGCAAGCCTGCCGACTGGCCGCAACCTCCTCATGCTAGCGTCGCCGCCACCAAGAGGCTACTTCAACCTTCCTTCCCCTCTGCAGCAGGGCGAGAAGGAGCTGGCCACTGGAACAGTGCCACATTCAGCTCCATGCTTTTTGGACATGGGGGGTGGGGTAGCCCCCGTCCCAAAGGTATTGGGGGGCACAAAAGGGCTCAGCCCCCAGGAGCTGGAGCCCCTGCCTGTAAGGCAATGGAGGTTTAGGATCAGAGTTTTCCCTCTCCTAGATGGGCTACCTTCCCCTGAATGACACTGTGAAAATTTTGCTTCAGGCCAATTACGCAATGCAAAATCATGCACAATTAAGCATCGTGAACCCCAGGGGCACTCACGTGGGGCTTTATACAGAAATTCCATGGCGTCAGCAAAAAGTGCACTTACGATCAGAACACACCACCTTTTGTAATGATTGCCATTTAATCATTGAAAGGGTTTGGATTCAAAATTCCCACAAACGGAACTCCAGCTCACAGAGTCTTCCTGCTACACAAAAAGAGCAGGAAGGCATTTTTCACTACCCCCTGAAAAGCTGCTCCACAGGGTTCTAGGCTATGGGAGAGAACGCAGCAGAAAACAATGGAAGCAGCCTCCCTCTGCCTTACTCCATGGGACCTACTGCCAAAGTTAAGGACAGAGGATTTCACTTTATAGGTTAAGGCTCACATTGTATGGGTTGTTTCAAATGGGCCACTGCCCAACCTCAAGGTGGTTCGGAACATATTGTTTGCTTATAAGAATGGATGGTATTCAACTAAGTTTCAACCCATTGATTTTAATGAGAGTTACTAAGCTAGCCCCAACTTCAATGGGTCTCCTATGAGTAAAACTTCGTTGAATGCTACCCAATGAATGTGAACAGCCATGTTGCCTTGACACCACACATTTATTTGTGGGAGCCACCCAGATATCAATGTTTGTGTGTTGGTTTTATTCCATTTCAATAGCAACGCCATGAGGATTTCCTTCACGCTGATACGTAATGCGTTTCAAATTTCGTTCTGGATTGGGGACTGAGGGAAGAAGCTGTGCCTATTAGAAGAGTTGATGGGTTTGTTGTTTGTTTTTAAATACCTGAACATACCTGAAGGCGTCTGAAAACTCCCGATTTCAGATTTCCAAATCCATAGGTGCAAGGTGAACATAAGGGGCTGTCTTTGCTTTCCACATAAGGAGTCTGTTCAATTTCCCAGTCAAATTCTTCTTCTTCTTCCTCCTCCTCCTCCTCCTCTTCTTGATTTTCAGCACCTGAAGTTTTGAGGTCAGGTGGTGGTGGTGAGGGGAACAAAAAGGTAACCAATCTTCCTATCAGAAAATTTCTTCTCAAATTCCACAAGGCACCACCAGAGCCCCCAGTCTGGAAACTGGAATTGTGCTGCTTCACCCTGCCTCCCAGATCATCCACACACTTTGATTAAGAGGGACATGATTCATGAGGCCTGTGGGGTGGAGGCCCCAACCATGTCATTTAATACTGCGGGAAAGTGTGCACCTTCACTTGGGGTACATACGCTACATTTGTTTGTGTGGAAAAACAGAGATATAAGACAGGATTAGTACTTGGCCAACATCACACATAAATCTGCCCAGTTCACTATAATGAATTCTACTATTATGTTTATAACGAAGTACGTGTATATACTCCCAACTCTCCACTGATGCATCTTCTATTTGCATGCGACTGCACACACACACACCAGGGACCCAGAAGTGGTGCCCGGAAATGACAAGTGAGGTTAGTTCTCAATGGCAAGATCAAAGAGTGTGTTGGGCAATATATGGGGAAATTATTAGTGGAGTAGGGGTGCTGAAAATAATGCCAATATATTTCACATCTGGCAACCAATGTGCCCCTTTGGTTTCAGATGGAGTTTGGTCAAGTACAGTGGTACCTTGGTAGTTGAACGCCTTAGTTGTCAAACAAATCAGCTCCCGAATGTCGCAGTGAGTGTTCAGGTTTGCAAACGTTTTTTGGAAGCCGAACATCCGACGCGGCTTACACAGCTTCCAATTGGCTGCAGGAAGCTCCTGCAGCCAATTGGAAGCCGCACCTTGGTTTTCAAACCATTTTGGGAGTTGAACAGAATCCCGGAATGCATTAAATTTGAGAACCAAGGTACGACTCCAGAGTTAACACTAAACACATTCCTTCTGATAAATGAGCCATCACTGCCACTAGAGGGCCATGATTTTGCATCCCATGGACTAGGGACGCGGGTGGTGCTGTGGTCTAAACCACAGAGCCTAGGGATTGCCGATCAGAAGGTCGGCGGTTCAAATCCCCGCAATGGGGTAAGCTCCTGTTGTTCGGTCCCAGCTTCTGCCAACCTAGCAGTTCGAAAGCACGTCAAAGTGCAAGTAGATAAATAGGTACCGCTCCAGCGGGAAGGTAAACGGCGTTTCCATGTGCTGCTCTGGTTCACCAGAAGCGGCCACATGACCCGGAGGCTGTCTGCGGACAAACACCGGCTCCCTCGGCCTATAGAGCGAGATGAGCGCCGCAACCCCAGAGTCGTCCGCGACTGGACCTAATGGTCAGGGATACCTTTAACTTTACCCATGTACTACTGTATTTTTCGCTCTATAGGGCGCACTGCATCATAGGGTGCACCTACTTTCTTTATTCCCCCTCCCCCAGCCCCAAAGAGCAAAGAAGCAAAGACAGCCAGCGGGATCCATCCTGCTGGCTGTCTTGGCTTCCTCTTTAGCCACGCACAACCTCTCCAGCCGGGAGAGGATGTGCGCGACTTTGCCAGAAGCCAAGACAGCGAGCATGGTTGGACTACAACTCCCAGCAGCCCCCAGCTAGCACAGCCAATGGTCAGGCATAATGGGAGCTGTAATCCAAAACATCTGGGCAGCACTTGATTGGGGAAGGCAATCATCATAATTTTATTATTTCTATGCTGCCCATCTGCCTGGGCTGCCCCAGCCACTCTGGGCGGCTCCCAACAGAATATTAAAAACATGATAAAACATCAAACATTAAAAACTTCCCTAAACAGGGCTGCCTTCAGATGTCTTCTAAAAGTCAAAAAGTTGTTTATTTCCTTGACATCCGATGGAGGGGGCGGGTTTCCACAGGGCAGGTGTGATTACCAAGAAGGCATAAAAGGCAGCTTCCTGTGTTTCTATGAACAACCAGAAGCATTATCAGCCAATGTAAAGCATTAAATTCCTATTTACAGGAAGCAGGGCAAGTAAAACATCTAGCACATAAATTCATGTTTCTCTGAACTTAGAGAGGGAGGGAGGGAGGGAGGGAGAATGAACCCGTGAGCCATTTTTTAAAATCAAAATTGTACAAACCCATCTCTTCGACTAAAGGCTTTGCAGATCTGGATTTCTTTGGTGCTAACAGAGCTGTCAACATGTCTAGCCCATCAAAATTCTCTCCGGGAACTTCCTTGGGAAGATAGATTGTAAAAACCCCTTGAAAGAAAAGCATTGAGTTAACAAAAGGCATTTCTCCATTTATCCGGATAAGCTACTACTAGGGTGTTTCAAAAAGCAATAGCAAAACTGCTGGCCAGACTATACTAAAAAAAAAAACCCTGCCTGCTCTCATTTTTGCTTGCATTACTCCAGGGACAGAGGCCTGCAAGTGCAGCGCCCCCATTCATTAATGATTTCACACATTCATAAAGCAGAGAAAGAGGAGCACAGGTGATTACAGCTCATTTTCAGCTCCCAACCCAACATGCAAAAGGAGGATCTGCACACCCTCCCAGTGGAAAGATTTGGAAGTCACACAAGACGCAGTTCCACATCTAGGCCTCATATATCTCAAAAAGGCCCCTCTTCAAACAGAACGAGTGCAAGTTGCTTTTGCTTTCTTCCACCACCTCCCATATTGCAAGAGAGAGGCACAAATTAAACACATCTACTACATGTCTTGCTCGATCAGTCCAAAAACCCAAGCTAAGAAGATGCGGAACAGACACGGCACATTCTTCCCAAATTAATAATTTGTCATGCAACACATTCCACTAGATAAGGCTGTGCTTGACGTTCTCTGCACAAAGAAAATTGTGACATGGGAAGCATCACTGTCTTCCGTCTAACAAACGTAAACCATCCCACTTATCTCTACAAAGCAAAACATTCTGAAACAACCAGGACAGCTCGCTTCATTTTAAAAGTAGAAGCAAACGTAACAGCAGAGGAATCTTGCATATCACGCTTTCTTCAAAATGAAGATATTTAATTAAAAAGAATTACAAACCTGTGTCGTCATACGATGCTTTCTCTCTTCCATCCTCTACAATTCTTCCTGGAAGAGCCAATCTGGGAGGGGTGAATTAAAGGCGATTAATTACATATCTGATGCAGGGGTAAGGATAATAGGAAACCAGGGACTGGTTGCCAGGCTTTGGAAAACCTCCTTCCATGTACACTTCAATGAAAAAGGAAGCCCAATTGGAAGCTGTGCGATTTGAGTAAGGTAGCAAGAAGAGCAGAGAATGAAGGCAGAAAAGGACAGATTAGGTAACTGCCGTGTGCCTTGCAGAATGGTGAATGCATGACCTTAAGGCCCCATCCCCTCTCAAGTCCTGCCTAGTCTTTCCTGCTTTCTCAATATTTTAATAAATACTAATTGTCCACTGAAAAGACTTGCTCAACAAGCGTGAGTGTTACTCCAGATGCCCATGCTGGTATCTAATATAGGAGAAAAGCCAGGAGAAAAAAAATAAAATTCAGAAACAAGACCCAGTTCAGATCCCACCACAGCCATGAAATCACAAAGTCTCACCCCACCCTCTATAATAGAGATAATACTGGCGCCTCTTAAGGAGCTGTTGCAAGAATATACTGAGTATGTATGCCAGGTGTTTTTAACATTCAAAATAGCACTATATAAATGCCAGAGGTGTCATTTACAATGTGCGTATAGAACACATTCACAAAAAGTCTTCAGGGTGAAGTGTAAGCACACTTCTGCTGAAACAAAACAACGTACTACAGCAAGCCTTGGGCTCATACGTTCTATTTCTCCCTCTTCTGCACAAATAAGGAGGAAATCTGAAGCGTTCATTAACGGTTTGGAACAAACCAGTTTCTCATCTCATTTGAATACAGGATACTGTAGTTTGCACAAACCAGTTAGATTAATAAGCCAGGGTTGTACCGCTGTGGGTCCCAGGATAATTCTCAAAACATACTATAGTCTGAATTCAGCCAATATGTGATTCCAGAATGTATCCTATATTAAGGATTTTCTGTCTCTCACACACAAATGAGCAAACTTGCCCCCAGAAACACAGGGGGGGGGAGCACTTATTAACACAATGTGACAAACAATACATAAGCAATTAAACTCAGCCTAATGAAGTGATGTTACTTACCTGAGAAAGTATGGTTTCGCATAAAACTTGAACTCCTTCCCTTCGAAATAGACCTCAAACTCTGAAACTCGTGCATATGGTACTTTGATTGTTATTGTAAGAAAATCTGGATCCTGACTCAGTTCAAACGCTGGGGTTATCATGCTGAATACTGCTCAAAAGCCAAAGGTGCTGCCTGAAAAATTATGTCATGGAAATAAAAGAATCACCATCTGAGCAAACATAAGAGAATACCAGTGACATATGAACACCTGAGTATGATAAACTGATTTCTGTTAATTACTTTTCTTTTCTAATTGTCCATCTACTTGCAGTCTGAAATAGTTTTGTAAATTTTATGAGGGGGAGATTCCCCCCCCCTTCAACTCCAGGGTGACTGCAGTCTGGCCCACCCCTCATCCTAAAATTGTAGGACCCTGAGGCATCATATCTGGCACCATGAAAAGGCCTGAGGAGTTTAAAGCACAGGGCAACCATCTCAGAGACATCAAGAACACCACTTGTAATAATGTTGGTGATGAAGCAGCATGGTACAGGCCCAGCCATCAGGGTCCAAATCCCATAAACACTACCCAGTGTCTTTGGAGCACCCTCCCAGGCTGCTCTAGCTTTTCAGGGGGAAATACACAAGGAAACCGTAACTTTGGGGAGATGTAAAGCTATTTGGCAATCCATTTTTGGGTTACATGAGTTGTGAAAGTGGCAGAAAGAAGACATTAAGGTCTATCAAATCAAAAGGAGATGGTAGAACAGATCTTTCAAGGGGCTGGGGTTAATGTTTGAAGTGTGTACCGTGTGAATTAAAGCAAAGGTTTTATTCAAGATTTTGGGAATTTACTGAAAGTTTGAGGGAATATGCTTTGAGGCTTAGGAGCGGTTAAATGACTGGAAGTAAGTAGGACTGAGGACAAAGAGCAGTTGCTCAAGAAAAGGTCTGTGGAAGGAGTGTAGGATGCTGCTATTCATAGGAAATTAAAATTGCCTCTTTGGCAAAATGGGGAAACACTTTCCTTGGGTTTTAAGGAGAATGCCATCAAGCTTCTGAGAAATCATAAACAAAATACAGCAATGTTGTCAGGAGCATGACTGCATCAGAGCCTTGCGGATGGGAAGATTGGAAGCTAATACCTTGAAGAAGACCCAAGATGGAAAATGCTGGCATGACTGATATGTGTAATCAGTGAGAGTATGTTGGAAAAAAAGATACAGAGGGAGATGCAAAAGTTCAAGTAGATCTGAAACAAGAGTTTATGAGAGCTAGGGAATGGAGTCACAGCACATGACAGAGTGGAAAGAGCCGCTGGGCGCAGGATAGATTTTATGAAGACAGGCCTATTTGCCAAAGATGAAGGAAAGTAGGCCACACTGCAGAAACAGAAGATGTTATCAAGAGTGATCATGAGTTGGAGATGTTCACTCAGGCTCTGGAGCAACTGGTGAGACAGTGGAGCTAGAAGAAGAAAGGAAGCAGTACAATACACCCGTGTTCACGCACATTTAGTACAGTAGGTCCCATCTGCACTATACATTTAAAGCAATATCACACCACTTCAAAGAGTCATGGCTTCCCCCAAAGAATGCTGGGAACTGTACTTGGTTAAAGGTGGTGAGAGTTGACAGGAGACCTCTCTTCACCTAACAGATCAACAATTCTACAGGAATTCCTGGAGGATGCTCTGAGGTGGCCCAAAGCACCTTTCAGTGTGGACACCTACAGTTACTTCCCGCCCCCGCCCCCAGCTTGTTTATTTTTGTTGGATACAGATGCCCTCATCTGTGCCACGCATCCACAGGGAGCTCTGAGACACATATGATGCACTGGAATCTCAGATGACACTCTCCCATTTGCCTGGGCATATGATTTGCCCTGGTTGAAAGCACATTTAGGGTACAAACCCCCAGTTACTTTTTTATGGTATTATGATGCCGTCACACGTTTATGAGCATTTCACAACCATGATTATTTTAACTGAATAACATTATTGTTGGGACAAAGGAAGGAGACCCCTGTTCATGTGCATATATAAGCCAAGGGATATCCTAATATGTATTATTATTATTATTATTATTATTATTAAATGAATAAATTTGTACACCAGCCTTCATCCAAAGATCACACGGATGTTCACAACATAAAAATAAAATATGAGAGCATACAAACTTTAATTGGGAGTTCAGGGATACATGAGCTTTACTTTTTTTAAAAGTGCTTCAAATCTTCTAGCAAATAAAAAACTTGGAACCACTAACTAACCTCAGCATCGCCAGCCACATTTTTATTATGTGAATTCCACAAGTAGGATATGAACCCAATATCACTTTACCCATTGACGACTCCCCTTCCCCACATCAGCAACTGATACATATTCAGAGGCATTGCTACCTCCAACACCCATCGTGAGTTAGGAGCCTCAAATAAAGCCTACTTCCCTTTCACAGAGAACACAGCAAACATGTTTCTAAATGGTGAGTGACCCAAGAGTCCGCAGTAAGGTACAACCTGTTGCTTTTACATACTAACTCTCTCACACACACACATTAGTGGTCACGCCTGTCAAAAAGCCCAGAGCTAAACACACATGCTGCCCCAACACAGGGTGGCATAAAAGGCTACAAATTCCCCTCCCGCTCCCTTTAGCCATAGATAAGTGTGTGGATGTGTTTATATATGTGTGGATATGTGCGCACATGTCTCTGTGTATGTTGGTGTGTGCATGAGTGTATATCTGTGCATGTGTGTCTGTACGCGTATTACTGTCGGCCACAGCCTCCATTTCCACACAGCTCCATCCCCGCTCTAAAAGACTACGAAAAACGCCAGGCTCGGCAACCAGCCCCGGCCAACACTCACTCACCCACCGACCCGACCGAAGACCACGCACTTCCACACACGCGCTGGCAGAACCCGTCTTCCCCTACCGCCCACGGCCCGCCCATCCCGATGGCGCATAGGCTTCCAATTGGCTGAATCCTGCGGTCAACATTCATTCCCTCCAATGGAGAACAAGGGTCTCTCGGAGGCGGGCCGCTTGGGAGGCGGGCTACAAGCTCATTGGCAGGAGCTGTAGGCTCGCGCCCATTCACAAATCGCCGAGAATGTGAAAAAAGAGGGCGGCGCGGCGGAGTGAGCGTCACGTGACAGGAGCCCGGCGAGAAAAAGGAATGTCGCCATCCCGCGCCTGCGCCTTCCTTTCGGTTCGCTATAACGGGCGATGCGAGTAAAGCGGGCAGCTGCACGTGACTTTCCCCAGTTCTGTGTTTGCCGCTGGCCACGCTGCAAAGAGGCGTTGCTTTTTTTTCTTTTGCATGCAAATACTTGGGTTGGCTTCCAACCAGCTAATAGTAATACTACTGAATGGCAGCGAAGCTGCATCCTCATTTCCTAGTTCCTTACTTTGCTTAAAACTTCGAAGAACTAAGAAGCTACTGTATCCCCACATTAAAGTCCATATGCCCCTGAGCCACCAAATAAATATCATTAATGTGCATGATTGGGTGGTGGGCTCTTTTTTAAAAAAAATCCCAACAATCAAAATTATGCTTGGGAAACACTCTAAAATGCATGATGACAACGTAGCACCATTAAAAAACTTAAGTAACAGGGGTGCCCGTCCCAAAACATGCTTTGGGCTGGCATAAATCGTAAAGGTAAAAGGACCCCAGGGACGCGGACTTATAAAAAATATTGGGGGGGCCCGGGAAAGCTCATGAATAATAAATAAGCTCATGAATATGCAAATAAAGTGGCTCCGGCCCTAAATAGGGCAAGCCACGCCCCCCAGCCAGCCGATTGGCTGGCTGGGAGGTGTGGCCAGTCGGGATTCCCCTGTTCTCGCGGGGGCTGAAACCGCCAGGAGGAAGGAAATTCCCCCGGCAGTGCCTTGGCAGTGGCGGTGGTGCTGCGAAGCAGCGAGGCAGGAGCCCCCACCCCCGGCGCCCGAGATTATTGGGGGGCTGAGCCCCCCCAAAAAATTTTTTGAGGGGGCTCGAGCCCCCTCAAGCCCCATGGAGTCGGCGCCTATGAAGGACCCCTGAGCATTAGGTCCACTTGTGGCCGACTCTGGGGTTGCGGCGCTCATCTCGTTTATTGGCCAAGGGAGCCGGCGTACAGCTTCCGGGTCATGTGGCCAGCATGACTAAGCCGCTTCTGGCAAACCAAGCAGTGCATGGAAATGCCGTTTCCCTTCCCACCAGAGCAGTACTTATTTATCTACTTGCACTTCGACGTGCTTTCGAACTGCTAGGTTGGCAGGAGCTGGGACCGAGCAATGGGAGCTCACCCCGTCATGGGGATTCAAACCGCCGACCTTCTGATCGGCAAGTCCTAGGCTCTGGTTTAACCCACAATGCCACCCACGTCCCCTAGCATAAATCATACACCCGAGCAAATGGGAGAGGGTCCTCTACAAGATGCTAACCCGAAGTGTCCTACTGGTGCATAACCAGTTTATGGAAATCTGTAGAGAGGAAAATAAGTATCTGGTGGCATCCAGCCCCAAACATGCTTTGGTTCAGCTCAAATCATACATCCAAACAAATGGCAGAGTCATGGGCATCCATAGCCAAAATATGTAGGAAAAAATAAGTAACTGGGCGGGTCTCCGGTGCAAAACATGCTTTGGACCAGCACAAGTCATGCACACAAGCAAGCAGGAGAGTGTCCTCTTCAAAGTACCAATAAAACAGGCATCGGTCTATGAGTGTATGATCTCTGGTGTCCTGGAGGAGTCTTGGGAAAGTAGCAAATGTATTTGATAAAAATAAATGTAATAGAAATGTTTTCTATATTGGAAAAGACTACCATGAAATATAGGAAGAAAAACTCATGACCAGTTAAGGATCTAAAATGGGGAGGAATGGGGTCTGGAACAGAGCTCCCAGAATAAAGGTTTTATAAGAAGGAAAGCAAGAGAGAGGAATTCCCTACCCAGCTAGGTGACGTTAGCTCTTGGCACAGTTCCCAAGAAGTTTGGTCACAATAAAGTCCACTCTCCAATTGAAATCAGTGGGCATACATTATTTGCAACTAACTTGGTGACAACAGGGCATAAGCACAACTATAACTGCAGTCCTAGGCACACACATTTGAGAGTTAGACCAACGTGGTTATTCTAGATACTCAGCCACCAGACTGAGCTGTATGGCTGAAGTTCTAACAAAATGGAAGCAAGTCCTGTTGAACTTGCTTGTTCTGAGAAAGAATGCAATAGGATTTAGGGTACAACTTTTTCTGAACTGGCCCATGTGTTTAAAACTGGGCATATTCCAAGTTGTTGTTGTTTAGTCATGTCCGACTCTTCGTGACCCCATGGACCAGAGCACGCCAGGCACTCCTGTCTTCCCCTGCCTCCCGCAGTTTGGTCAAACTCATGCTGGTAGCTTTGAGAACACTGTCCAACCATCTCATCCTCTGTCGTCCCCTTCTCCTTGTGCCCTCCATCTTTCCCAGCATTAGGGTCTTTTCCAGGGAGTCTTCTCTTCTCATGAGGTGGCCAAAGTATTGGAGCCGCAGCTTCAGGATCTGTCCTTCCAGTGAGCACTCAGGGCTGATTTCCTTCAGAATGGATAGGTTTGATCTTCTTGCAGTCCATGGGACTCTCAAGAGTCTCATCCAGCAGCATAATTCAAAAGCACCAATTCTTTGGCAGTCAGCCTTCTTTATGGTCCAGCTCTCACTTCCATACATCACTACTGGGAAAACCATAGCTTTAAGACTTTCTAATTCAGCTGATAGATAGATAGATAGATCGATATAGATCTCTAAAGAGGGGCAGGATTTGGGGAGTGTCATCTGTTTATATGCTTTTTTTTTTTTTAACAATGCTACCCATTCTGTCTTTCGGGGGTATCTGTTGGGGAGGTTGAAAAGCTTTCACATTTGAGCAATGTGACAGGTACAAGTTGTTTTGAAGCACAGTGGGTATTTTGTTGAGCCTCTGGTACTTTTAAGTATCCTGCAAAGAAGGCTTTTAAGGAACTAAACTGATTTACTTTTCAAGAATAGCTACACCAATGACAAGATTGAGAGGGTTGGGGGGCGGGGTTAGACACACACACACACATAGTGGTCTCTGTCAGGCTCATGGCCTTGTCAGTTTGAAGATGCTTTGATACAGTTTGGTTTCATGTGCACTAAAACTGATGCAACTTACAGGATAACAAAATAATTGCTGAAGAGACATTTTCACATAGTTTCCCAGCCACATGCTGGTGGACTACATTAAAGTACCCTCTCCAATCTCCAAATGTGATGGAAATGGTGTTTCTTCAGAGATTAGAATATAAAATATCTCTGAATACTGCTGGGTGCAAGGGAGCATAATTTTTCATCCTTGCATTTACTAGAAACCAGATTGTGTGTGTTTCTTTCTTTTCTTTTTCTTAAGCTTCTTCTCTTCTGTGCCCTGAGGGACACCCTGCTAATCTAATGTTCCTTAACGTGATCTTGTTTTCCAGGTCATTGATTTAATTTCTCAGGACTTTATAGGCTATAATAGTTTCACTCATAATAGCGTTATGACCATCCAATGATATCTTTTTTATTTCCAGAGTAGCTCACTCTTTATCCAAATCCCTTGCTTAATCCTTACAGAGAGAATATGGAAAGCTGAATTGTTCGATTCCATGTTAATTTTTAGAACGAAGTCTAGCTACTCTTAAGTTCAGTAAGTTCCTTGCATGAGGCATAATATATTCCTGAAATCTTGCCCTTTATTCACTTTCTGTATTCCCTTCTATCAAATGTCAGGGTTGTCTTACAATAAGTGGGGGGAGTAAGAGAAGAAAGAAGTTATTTTCATTCACTTGCCATAATATTTATAGCCCAATCCTATGCTTAACTATCCTATAACTAACAGAGCTATCCAATACAGTGGTACCTCGGGTTACAGACTCCGCTAACCCAGAAATAGTACCTCGGGTTAAGAACTTTGCTTCAAGATGAGAACAGAAATCGTGCTCTGGCGGCGCAGCAGCAGCAGGAGGCCCCATTAGCTAAAGTGGTACTTCAAGTTAAGAACAGTTTCAGGTTAAGAACGGACCTCCGGAACGAATTAAGTACTTAACCCGAGGTACCACTGTATTCACACTGTGTTGGGGTGGGGGTACACCACATCTTCCCCAGCCAAAGGGCCACCATATTCAATGTGTTCTGAAGTCAGGAAGGAGGAGGAAACACTCATTGCCAGGAATTACAAAAACAGCATACATGCACTCAATTTCCCTGGAAACTCTGCAGCCACCACATGCCACCCACATACAGAAGAAGCCAATGGGCCTGCAGCAACAGTGAAGTGACCCCAATACACCCTTGGCAACACACACACAAGACTGTGCTCCTGTGCCCCCACTCCAGCAGCGTCAGTGGGCCAGCCCAGTGGCGTAGTATGGGGGGTGCCATGGTGTGTGTGTGTGTGCTCCAGCCACAAAATTGTTTGGGGAAGCACCCAGTGCTGCCTAAATACAGCTGTGCACTTCCCTTGGTGGGCTCAATTGGAAACAGCTTCTCCATGCAATCCAGGAAGTGGCCTCTCCAGACAACAGAGCGGCTCTTTTTTCCTTATCTCTGTGGCTGCAATTTGGGTGACGTGGACACCATTAGGTGTTGAATCCATATGGAGACTCCATCCATTTCCCTCCCTCACCCCACCTCCCCTCTGCGCAGCCCCGGGTGCAGGCAACCCATGCTATGCCACTGGGCCAGCCAGCAGCAAGCTCAGTACTGCCAGCCATCAGGCATCCCTACAGGCAGGGAATTCATTCCTCTTATGCTACTCAGGAACACCCTTTTGGAACATAAAACACAACAGAACATGTGCAATGATTACAGTGCTGGACTAGGGACCTTGGAGGCCATGGTTCAAAGTCCCACTCAGCCATGAAGCTCACTGGGTGACTTTGAGCCAGTCATCACTCTACCGCACAGGGTTGTTGTGGGGAGGAGGAGAACAACT